ATATTTTTGCCCTTCCTTTATGCCCTTGGAATAAATTTTTGATTTTGCTAGACCGACGCATTAGAACCAAAATAATATAATTTTGGTTCTAATAATAATATTAGAGCCAAAATAAGAGTTTCGTCCTGATAATGCGAAGGTCGTAATTTTGATTCCTTCGTGGGCTAGTGTTAAAATTGTAATCAAGGCATATTTTTCGACAGTATTCGTTATTGTAGTTTATCTTTATCATATTTTGATGATGATGTAAGTAATTAATATCAATAATAATGTAGATAAGATTTATACAATATTTTTTCTAATTATCTGAATACAGATGCATCTGACAACAGATAGAGGTTTACTGACAATACGAAATTTATAAATATGACAAAATACTGGAAAAAAATAAACTGTATATTAGACACGAACCCTAAGATAAAATTTGCATATTAAGTATGAAATAAGATATAGGGTTTTCGATGACTTAAAACTATTAAAAGACGTTACAAATCCTAAGATACCGTTTGTAGTATGTAATAATTTTTATTAAAACTAAATATTAACTTTTCTAGTTACTTTTACTTTTCTTGTATTTCTACTTGATCTTAGTTACTTTTCCAGGTGTTATGCAAATTTAGGGTAAAGTTTATCTTCTAATGTGTTGCATTAGTTTTTTTTTATAATTGTTTTAAAGAAATCAGATGAAAAGTCGATGGCTTTTGAATAACATTAGAAGCATAAAATAAAACTGCAAATTAACTGAGTTTGTATCAACTAATTCCCATGAATAACACTCAATAATTTAATTTTTACTTTTTCGTGCAGAATATTAGAAAAAATGCTTTTCGTTAATCTTTTAAAAAAATGTTTTCATTATTGTCATGAATATCACGACATCCTAAACGTTTACTTATATACATATTAAAACGTTTACTTATATGTATAGAATAAAACAAAACCGAATCAGTCATGATATTTGGAGAAAAAAAAATTAGTAAAAATACCGTACTATAATGGTAACGGCATTTCATGTAAAGCAAATCATAATTCTAGTTAATAAAACCAAAATATACTATATTTAAATCATTCATTTGGTAATTGTTCCGATCATATGGTAACGGTTTACTAGAAATTAAAGTTTCTAAAAATTTATTGTTCTTTTTAACATATATTTAATAAAAAATACGAAACTGAAAAGCAAATTTAAAGGAATAAATAGTTTATATAACATGTTCTAAGGTAACATGTTAAGATGATCAAATTGTATCATATGCGGGTAGTTTTGACCTTTTTCTTTGTCAGTTTAAATATTAAAATAAAGAAAATGAATCATTCAAACAAAGTTTTTTTCTCAAAAATAAAGTACTTCTCTAAAAAAATAATAATAATTTAATCTTAAACCTATTCTCCATATGCTTGGTTGACTGCCTCAATTGTTTATTCTTTTTCCATACTTGAAAAATGGAAATTAAAGTTTTATGTTTATTTCGCCAAAATAAGAGTATATTCTTATTTATACTAACAACACCAGACTTACCTAGCAAAGAAAATAAATATACCTCAATACCACCCGAAAGAATACATTAAAAGTAGCAGACGTAAAGAAAAATAACATAAATCCCACATGGAGTTATTTTGAAAGCGAAAGAGTTCTCTCTGAATTGAAATAGAATAAACAGTGCAAAATAATATGAAAAATATATTATTTTTAACTTGTTTTCAAGAGGATTGTCATTTTTATTTGCATCTACAGCGAATTTTACAGTAATAACCATTACATTTACGCAAGACATGGCATTATATTATTAGTTGAAAATATATATTCCCGGCTTTCTCTAATGCGTTAATATATTATTCTGTTTAATAAAAAGTTTGAATAAAAATTTTAACTTTTAACAGAAATCATAATAAAAGATATATTATTATAGAATAAGTCATTGCTGTAATTTAAATAGAAAAAATCATATACATATTTCAAATGGGTATTTTTTATAAGAGTAAACAAAATTAATTATTAAAAAAATATATAGGGTTTATTGCAAAATGCTCTAATAGTTTTAGGCTGAAATTAAATGTTTGCTTGTCAATAAACATCAGCACCAATTTTTAACCTAAAAAAGTCATCTCTTTATACTTCACATCTGTTTTTATTATTTTGTAGATCGTTCGTTGGCATTAAAAAATTATTTTCTAAAATAATTATATTCAATGTATATATTACATTTTTATAATTACCATTTTAAGTTTTATTGGGGGTCCCTTTTTGGGCCCTGAAATAATATGGTTACTTAAAAGAATGGGTAAATGTTTGAAATGTTAAACCTTAAATGTATTTGTATTGACCGCAATCTGCCCAACACAAAAGCGGTACGATCTAATCATTTAAATGCTTATAAGGGTCCTTTAGGGGTGGTTTTTGCCAATAGAAAATTCAATATGTATAAAATAATTTTAAAAAAACACCTAGAAAGAAATTCAATTAAATATACCGTACTGAATAGTATAACCCTTTCTGGTAAAAAAAAACTTTATTCTGGTAATAAAACTAAATATGGGGTATTTAAACCGTTCATTTTTCAGTTTTTAGTTCATAAGGAAACAGTTTACTGGATATTCTGGTTTAAAAATGTATAGTTCTTATTATAACACATATAGTAAAAAATACAGAGCTAAAAAGTATACTTAACCAAATAAATGGCTTTCATGGCATGTGATGCTCTAAGTTATGAAAACAATTACCAAAATTTACCACATTTATCAAATTTTAACACATATTATCAAAGCATGTTTCATTGGCAGTTTCATCAAAATCATTACCAAAGCGCTTTGGTAAAAGTTACCTAGCTTTTCGGTGTTCCCAAGAGTCAGAAACATGCTAAATCTGACCATATTCTGATAGTTTTGACTACATCAACTAACAACTAATAGTTAGCTGTATCCCCTTAAAAATAATAACCGATCTTACATTGATGATAAAAGGTTAAATTGCATTAATTTATTACATGGTTTGTAAATAAATGGTAATATTTACCAAAAATATTTACTAATGCTGTTAAGAAAAAAACATGCGTGCATACTTTAAGAAAGTTTAATTAAAAGTCAAATAATGAAGATCGTGTAAAGCATAATATAGTGGGCAATGGTTGTTACTTTAATAAAGTGTATGTTTTATCCTCAAGTTGAACCATTCCAAACTTTAAGATAGTTAAATTTACACGATAATATTGTTCAACTTGATGCCACATTAGGATTACTATAATTTGCAAGATGTTTTAGCTCAACGGTATCCAAACGATTTGCTGTATATATTTCTGGACTGAAAAGATCTGCCCCTTTTATTCCTGCATAGTTGAGGAGCTTTTCATTATGTATTCAAAAACTTCTAGATCTAAAACAGTCCGACAAAATATGGATTTATGATCCACGGGTTGAAAAATAATTTAACAACAAGAAAACAATCTTAGCGCAAATTTAATTTAGACTATTTGATTGAATTAATAGTGCTTACACATTCCACTCCTCGCAAATGAACAGAAAGTATCCAAACACATATTTTTTTCTGATAAAAATTGTACTATAATAAGTATTTTTGCAGATATTAATAAGTGTAAATGATTTGTGAAACATTGTATTTATAGATTTTTTTCTGCAAATTTATTCATTATTAAATCTTAATATATTATTAATGTTTAAAAAATGATTGCTCTTCATGAAAATATGATTGTAGTAAAACATCTTAATATAAAAAAAACCCGATGAGGAATAACATAATAAAATACTAATTTGTTTTTTAAAAGGTATTATACTTCAATATCAGCAAAAATAAATAAATGTTCCGACATTTTTCTATTCATATAGGATAAGTGATGCAATGTACGTATAATTGGTTCAGGTAACTATGCTAATCAGATTTCAGATGCATGAGCATGCAGAAACAATATATGATTTAAATTTAAAACATGGATTAAAAAAAAATGAGATATAATTAGGATTTCTTTTCTGACTCTAAGCTTTGGCTTAAGCACTTGCAATATCTGAAATTGATCTACTATTCTAAATTCTTATTTAGTATATTAAAAGTATATGAATTTTTATATAATTATGTAGAATTCATACCATATTCTTGTAATATAACAATAAAACAATACATCGCTAAACATATTAATATTACAAGATACATATTTAACTTTTACTTAGCTTTTCTTTATTGTTTTTACATAAATAAAAACAAGATATGAAAGGAATGATTTAAGAAATAGTTTTTATTTTATTAATGCTTTCATTTCACTTCTATTCGAAAATTATGTTTTAAAACAACTTTCTTTTCTACGTACGTTCAACATTCCCTTGTTTTCTAGGGACCCAAGTACAGCACAAAATGTTTTTAGAAAAATCGCTTCTATAAATTTTTGAAGCTTTTAATGGCAATTTTTTTTCAATTAAAAACATCGTAATTCTTAAATTTCCTTGTTTTTTTTTGGGATCCATATCCATCATAAATGTATGTTTAAGGATATTTTTGTTTATTATTGCTACATAATTTTTCTAGTGCTATGGCATTTGGATAAATATATTTTAGAGTGGAGTAATATTTTAAATTTTATCTAATTTAACTGAAGTTCTCAAAATATTATGTCCATTATACATTTTTTTCTGGAAACAAGAGTTTTTTAGAATATATTTGATCGAGTAATCTCATGAAGTTTAGTTCTAAAAATTTCTTCATTTTTAATAATAATATGTAATCATTCATTAAAAAATTTGAATAATAATGTAGCTACTATTTCTATTCCTCTTACCACAAAGAACTATATCTTTATGAGGAAAATTTTTATTTTGTTACTTTTAGAGCATAATTAAAAAAAAATCGTAATGTTAGTTTCATTTGCTTTAATTATCATTTATGGTTCCAGAAATTTGTCTACCTGAATAATAAAAGTTCAACTCAATATGTACCTGTAAAAATCTTTTATATTTAAAATTTAAGATAACAAAACTGATAAAAGAACAAAACTTACCACAAATGAAAGGTATTAAACAGCTGTGGTGCACATTCTCAAATCGGATACTAAATTGAAAACGTTGAGAAAGCCAAACAACAACCTCTGAAAGAAACAGGTGAACCTTATCCGGAGCTTGTTCGAAGAAAATGTGCCGGACTATTTCCGATTCCCGGACAACCAGCTCTACGAGAATTTTGTCAAAGCGCGAAGCACTAGCGCCATCTAGATTTAGTTTTTTTATCCAGTATTTAGAGATTACAGGACATTTAATAACAAAAAGAATAGTATCTATTTTCATTATCAATATGGATTAACTTATATTCAAACAATAATACCGATAAAAATAACTTTTTTCATACTATTTATATTTGAAAACTCAAATAAAGTATTTAAAATGCCAGAAAAACTTACGAAACTGTTTGAAAACAGTAATACTCATCTCAAAATATTTTTATAAACTGGTAAATCTGCAATTTTAAGTAACTACGAAAGGTACACAGAATTTTGAATGTCTTCCACTGAAAAATATTTTCAGTTTATATAAAATAATTATTTGTAACATGTTAAAAACTGTGGATGAAATGAAAAGCAAATGTTTGCTCCTACTAGAGGAATTTAGTTATATAACCGATTGTTTTAACCGAACAGAGCCTTTGTGAGCGGGATAGGAAAATTAAATTTTTTCTCTACTAACAATTCAAGCTACACACCTATGATAAAATAACGAAAATCACCAAGCAACTTTTCGCTTGATTTTTTATTTTTTTGACAACTAGAAAAAGTACTGCATTTCGACTTCAACAACTGTGGACAGTACTGTATTTTGGCAACTATTGACAATACTGTATTTTGGCAACTATTGACAGTACTATGTTTTGACAACAATTGGCAGTTTTGTAACTTTCCAGGTAGCAAAATCACATTATCTAACAGTAGAACCATGCTTTATAATACTGCCTTGTTAGAAAACGCTAGACTCTTGAATCCTATCTTCTAATATTAGACCTAATATTATATAAGATTAAATAGTACTTAATCTAACATTCAAACTTTTGAAATTATTATCTTTTTCATTATTTTTGGCCCAGCTCCACATTTTTGTGAAAGGCTATTCCATATCATTAATAAATTAGCATTTATTTATGAAAGAAAGCAATAAATTAAATATTACATAAAATATCATAATTAGCAAATACAATTTTATGCATGAAAAAGCAAGAAAATATTAGTGGCAGTAAATTCTGTTCGCGAACGATATAAAACTGGCAAAACTTTTTCGACTGTTGAGTTGAACCATTTTCACGATTGTTCACATCGTTTATCGCCGTATTGTTCGTGGTCGGCAGTTTATAGAATGAATCGTTTCAACTACTTAAGGTATTTATAATGTTTAGTAAACTTTATAAATTTCAATGATAGTTACATAAAACAGTAAAGTAGTATTGTAGGTAGTGTTTTTCTTAATAGTTAAAAATCAGCTATAAAAGTAAAATAAAGCTCTATGTTTTAGAGAGGATGATGTTGTAAAAACATTCAGTCTACTTAATGATCTTGACCGTTTAATCAAAACATTTAAGAATTAATTTAAGGATCATATGTCTCATCAGTAAATATTATGAATTGTGATCATTATAGGCAATGAGTAGTTCACGCTTAGTAGTTGACTTCTCTGCTAAAAAAATATTTTTTAACTTTGTATAAGTTAAAAATATTTTGTAATAAGTACTTACTGTAATTAGTTCAGAATTTGCTTGTAAAACCTCATTTTCATGGTTATTCGTCTGTGACAGAATCTTCTGCAACAATGAGAAAGATAAAAAAATAATTGTAAAAATATATAATGTAAAAGTAAACATCTGTTACTTTTAGCTCAGTTAAAACTACTACATTGTATAATGTTTAAGGTTTAATACAAACAATATTGTTACCATATTGAAATTTCATGTTTAAAATATTGTAAAACAACGAATTAAAAATTTTTGTTTAAATTTCTTGATTATAGACTGATGTGTATGTTTTTGATGCATCATTGTGTAGACTAATTTGTAAATGGTTAAAAGATAAACAATAATATGTTCTATTCAAAATGTTGTTTATGGTAAATGAAAAGCAAAGCTGGGAAGTGGGTACATTTTTTATTAAGGACGTTTAAAAAAATTTTAAAAATTTTATGTTGGCTTTATATAAGCTTGTGCGATGTATTAAAATTAAAAGCATTGAATGTGATATATTTTCGTATTCGAATATTCTTGAATGTTCACTCCAACTAAAAAGTAAAGCTGAAAATTTAAATTTTCAGTAAGTAGTCTGGTAGACTATAATGTCTCACTTTTTCCTTAAACCTAATGAGTTGGTGACCTATATCAATAGGTCCAAAAATGGCATCCATTTAATACTTTTAAAAACCACATTTCGCAAACTTTTCTTTTTTACTTTGATTAAATTATATTTTTAAAAAAAATTCCTATTAAGAATAATCTAAGGCTATAAAAAGCCAATTATACAATAAAAATAATAAATATGTGTCAAAATTTAGTTAAGCATACTGACATTTAAAGAACGTTATGTAAAAATATTGCGGGGGGGGGCAACATATATTTAATATATGTATTAAAACTTTGAAATATGTGAATCGTTAAGGAAATCTCCTTCTACCAGATTTTTTGAAACCACGAATTGATGATTCTGAATTCTCAGAGTATTTTTTTACATTCACGTAGTTTTTCATTAAACGATTTAAAATAAACAATGGAAGAAAGTAAGCAGTTGTTTTTTAGCATTTTTCGCCACTTATCCACTTAGCCACTTATCCACAAAGAAGTAAAAGGGTTTTGCAGCTTGAATTTTTTTTATAAAAAATAAGTGATAATTTGCTTCGGAGTGTTTATGAACTAAACTCTTTAAGTTAATATCTTTCTCTTATTTTTGCTTCCTGTGTGGCGATACCAAAATTTTTTGACGCAGGCACCGATATCGGAATTTACCCACATTGAATTCCAGTGTAAATTTCATTGTACCCATTGAATTTCATTGTAGTCCATTTCATTATATTAAAATTTTTTAAAAACATTTTCAAATTGAGTTATTCAATGTCTAATAGTTTTAAATTTGGTTTTTCTCAGTAAAGTTAAATTTATTTTCGTTTATAATTTCAGCTATAGCTCTTCTTCAAGAAAAAAAAGGAAGTAAAGGAAGAAACTGTTTGTTTTCTAATGTCTCTTCAAATGAAACTTCTTCTCGGGGACTGATTCAATTTTGAGAAGAGCTGTTGAACACTGCAAATGGAAATTGCATACTCTGATGGTAAGCTGGGAGTTCTAAGTTCGATCCTTACAGCAAATAAAGCAACTAGGGTAGATATTCACTAAGGACGACTTTAAATCTGTCATGGGGGAAAGTCCTTATGTTGATTGCGGTGTTGAAGTTTGAAGAAAAAGGGAAACATGTCAGATTCATCTCTGTTTTGTGGTTTTTTGGGGAACACACATTATTAACTGTTGCTGAACGTTTCATAAAAACTTTAAAAAAATCATTCAACCACTGATTGGAAATATAATTTCAAGTAAACAAAGACTTGCAATTCGAGGAATAAACTCAAACTATATCAAATAATTCTAAAGTCATGAAAAAAACTTACTTTATTTAATAACAATTACGATTTTTAACTTGTGTTTTACTGAAGGATTTTCGACGTTTATTTAAACAATGGAGGTAATGTATACATTTACAATTGGATAAAGTTAATTTTATAGTGCGCTTTGTTTTTAAATAAAATTATTATGCTGTGAAATAGTTGTAATGTTTATCATGGTTTCTATTTAAATTACTGTAGTGTTTAATTTCTTCTACAAAATCGTAATAAATCTTCAAAATTTTGAAAAATTGGATTTGTCAGGTATGATATTTGCATTGATAAAATTCTATAAAATATAACGTTAGAAAATTTTTATAGTAGATAGTGCTTAAGTGTCATGAAAACAGTTGAATATATTTAAAATTTGGTTATTTTTAACCTTTCGGTATGATATCGGAAGCAATTTTATTTTAACGCTGATCGCGTATTTTTATTTTTAGTGAGTATATTATTATGAGTGAGTATTTTTATTATCAGTATTGTGTTTAGTACTTAATTTTGGAAATTTTTACATTATCATTCGTTTGAAATTTGTGGCAAGAAGTTTATGCTTTTTTTTATCATGTTTAAAGTAATATAATTGTAAAATAGTTATAAACGTAAAAATTCCTTTGACTTTAAGCTGAATAACATTTACATTATGATAAAAATTCACAATCATAGTAGAAAAGAATAGTGATTAAACATTCATCTGAAAGATTTTGTATATTCTTTGTGAAAACATGTTTTGCAATTGCGTCTTCTTTTTTTTAAAGAGTCCAGTTTAAGACGCTTACACATAAAGTTATATTTGTTTTCACTATGTTCGTAATGCATAATCTGTTATCAGCGAAATACAAGAAAATATATTGCTTGACTTTGAACAAAAATGTTTTGATAGCAACGTTCTCAAAAAAGTAAATGTTAGTAGTCAAATTTGGATCATTAATACTAAAGGCAACTTATAGTGAAAATAGATTTTATGTTTTATCGTCTCATTCTTGTGTGCAATTAAATGTAGGTGCAAATTTAATTTCGATAAATTATAATATTTACTACTTATTTTTGGTTTGGAAACGTAAGTGTTACCTTACTTTTTCGGCTAAAATTGTTGGTCAGTACATAGTAACTTTAAATAATCATCGAATCGTTAAGGATTTCTGATGTGTCAATGTAAAATTATTTTTGCATTACAGAAATATATTTGCAAATTTTTAATTGAAATTCATAAAGGCTTTTCTGGTTTCACTCCCTGAAAATACTTCTACGGGTGCCTTTGGATTTTGCTTCAAGTATTTTGTTAAGTAAAATTTCAGATTCATAAAGGATAAAGTTACGTAAGTATATTTCCATTTAATACCAGGGAAAAAAAAGAGAAAGAAAATTTCTGCCAGAAAGTAATTTGAATATCTTTAAATTTTCTTCATTGTCTCAATTATTACAAAATAACAATTTAAAAATTCGAGATAAAATTTCATTTTAATCTTAACATATAGTTTTCTTTAAGGGAAAAAAATTTACAGGTAAAATT